GATAAAGAAATTGTGATATGTGTCTATATACACATACACACAATGGAATATTATTCACCTATTAAAACGTGAGTAACAAAATAGACCTAAAGAAGACAGAATTCATATAGTAGAAAACATATACATACAAAAAACAATTTTTTGACAAAAACAATGATTTTTTTTAAATGTTTATTTCTGAAACAGAGACAGAGTGTGAACAGGGGAGGGGCAGAGGGAGGGAGACACAGAATCTGAAACAGGCTCTAGGCTCTGTGCTGACAGCTCAGAGGGGCTTGACATGGGGCTTGAACCCACAAACCGAGAGATCATCACCTGAGCTGAAGTTAGATGCTTAACTGACTGAGCCACCCAGGCACCCCAAAACAATGATTTTTTAAAAAAAAAAAATCTTTAGAAAGTTTTTTTTTTTTTTTTTTTTTAGAAAAAAACCAATTCTTAGAAAGTCTGAAGAATTTTTTTAACATTTATTTATTATTGAGAGACAGACACAGAGCATGAGCAGGGGAGGGGTAGAGAGAGGGGGAGACACAGAATCCGAAGCAGACTGAAGGGTTTGAGCTGTCAGCACAGAGCCCGATGCGGGGCTCGAACTCACAAACTGCAAGATCATGACCTGAGCCAGTCAGTCATTCAACCAACTGAGCCACCCAGACACCCAAGTCTGAAGAATTTTTATTTAAAATCACAAACAGGGACCTCTGGATTGCCTAGTTGGTTTAGCCTTTGACTCTTGATTTCAGCTCAGGTCATGATCCCAGGGTCTTGGGATTGAGCCCTGCTGAGCATGGAGCCTGCTTAAGGTATTCTGTGTGTGTGTCTGTATCTGTCTCTTTCCCTCTTCCTACCCCTCTGTACCCCTCTTCCCTTTTCCCCCACTTGTGCTCTCTCTCTTTCTAAAATAATGAAAAGTAAAAATAAATCACAAATTAGCACATAGAAAGGGACAAAACTACAGATGAAGATAAGATGCCTTAAATATAAGACATCTTAATTAAGTTTATCTTATATAAGTTTTTCAGGAAATGTAAATTAGCAAAATTAACTCAAAAAGCCCAGAAGAAAACTGAATAGACCAATATCCACTTAAGAGATCAGAAGGTAGATATCTGACCCTAAACTGTCGAAAAGAGTTAGTTTCACCTTGAGTAACTCGATGGGTGTATTCTACAAAACAATCAGGGACACAGTCTCTGTGCCATTCGAGTTGTCAAGGCATATTACAAAGCTGGGAAATTTCCAATTCTGTGAGGCTAGGTTTTAATGATACCAAAAATCAAAAAAGGGTAATTCAAAAAGAACATATTTGTTTATAAAAAGCTTATTTTTTAAAATGTCTCCCTTATGAATATAGGCCTAAAACCCCAAAACAAAACAGTAACACAGAGTCCAGCTGTTTATTTTAAAAAGTGTTTTAAAAGTTGCGTATTAAGTGAAAATTAAAAGCAAATTATGAGATGTTACGAAACCATCGTATGTGAATATACCCATGTGTAAATGCAAGACAGGAATGAATCACAGAAAAATTAACAGTGGCCACTAGGGGACAATGGGAGAGTTGTCATGAAAGAGAACTGGGAGGCGAATTTTATTTTGTATCTGCTATGATTTATTTTTACAAGCATAGATTTATAAATTGGCTCTATAACTTACAAAGAAACTTAGAGTTCAATAATGGAATTAATTGTGAAAGTTTATGCCAAGATCCAGGAGGAAATACCTGGAGTTTCAGATCTATGTCTTTCAAAAGGAGTCTGTGGACTCTCCAGTTGCCCATAAAACAGGCTTTCTCCCATAGGAGTTGCAGTCAAGGCATAGCCATAAATATGGTAGGCATCAGCTTTGAGCAGCATGGTTTTAGAACTTGAAAAGGAAAATGAGTTAGTTCACTGCTCACTCCTTTGATGAGGAAACTGAAGCCCAGGAAGATTGTAAAAAGGTAGAGAAGGTATTCTTTTGCTAAATACTCTTCTCGATGTGTATGTTCTCATTATGCATTTAATAATGCTTTTTACATTGATTAAGTGTGTTTAATATTCCTATGGTTGCTACTGTACATAAGAATCAGTAATCAACTTGCAGCTTGGTGCTAGCATTATAGCAACATAACTTAATTAGTCCTGGAATGTAAGGGGCAAAATTGAAGTATATCATGAGTGAATATAGAATTACTCTGCAATTAGCTGTCTGGAATATCCTGCCTCTATATGACATACTTAAAATTGAAAGTGCCTATGCTTTCTAAGTAAACTATATAGATTTCCTGAGCTTGAAATACCCGATTTACAAACACATGTGCATACCCAGTCAGCTCTCTAACCTCAGCCCCTATTCAGACCTGTGATTTCTCTCAATCCCAAAGGGTAGCAAAGGGGGTCTTAAATTGATGTTGCCACCTAGTGGTTGAAAAAAAAAATCAGTTCTAAGGAAAGCGTCTCCAACCATCTTTTAATGGTTATGTTTAGCTAGTTTTTCCTCTGAGTTCCAGGAGCTACTTTACATTCTGAAACCTTCCTGTTTGTAGTACTGGATTATTGTTGGCCACTTCAAAAAAGACTAGCTATCAGATCTAGGGAGAGTAAGCTATTTGGTTGAACAAGTGGGGCATTTGGGGTGGGCGGGGGCGGGCATTTAGTTTTGCACACTGAATAGAGCGCTCTTGTTGGTTTCGGTTACTGGTTAGTGTAATAAAACTTACGGGTTTAAAATATATGAAATTTATTGGGTTTTCCTAAATAACTTTCCTTATTCTCCTTTTTCTCTGATAAGTAATCAAATAGTAATAAACACATATCTCAAATCACACTTGAGAATTTCTACAAGTTATGATGAAGTGAACTTTTTGTGATAAAGGTGACAAAGCTGGGTTTGAGCAATCACTCTCAGAATTAAATAGTCCCAGGAGTGGTCATCTTTTATCCTTTTATCCTCCCATCTCATAGGAGAAGAACCAATTGCCAGGTTGAATTATCCATCATTTAAGAAAAAGAAATCTTCCTATGGCTGTAAAACAGCTTCAGATTGCTTTCTTTGCACTCTTGAGGAGGTGATAAGGGCCCAGATGGAGGTGTTTTTCAGCAAGCTGTCAAGTGATCCATCCCTCAAAAACAACCATATCACCCAGCAGAGTTGCCTTTCTCTGCCAAGAATTATATTGGGTCAGGTGGGAGAGGCCAGAATATGATGAAGCCAGGAAAAATAAAGGACAGAGAACTGTGTACCAGAAATGAAAGAGAAAAGGTATGAATTACATTTAAATTACAAAGTCATGTTTGGAACTGCTTCACAGTGACTTGGTTTTTTCTTTCCCTGTACTTTATTTTTTCCTGGGAAAATAGACTGCATGACATTGATACTGAGAGGTGGTTTTGTGTGGTTCTGAGGAAACCTAAGTGACATTAGGTTAGTAGTGCCTAAAACATACTAAATTATCAACAAGTCAAGGGCCTTTTAATTCATAGACCTAAAGAAGGTATAACAGGATCATTTGAGATAACAAAGCTAAAGTGATTGGAAATGAACACATAGCCCTAAGGAATAATTTTCCAACAAATCTGGAAGTCTCCCTTGGGGTCTAATGACCTCCATATTAATCTTACCTAGCCTTGAACACGGCTATTCATCTAAGTAGTAAAATCATAGAAAAATATGCCAGTTCTATCCTTGTTCCAGTATACCTTTGAGGCTGGAGAGAGAAGTTGTGGGTCAACTGCTAGAGTTTTTGTTTTGTGCTGTATGTATATATATGTACATGTATATATGGTATTAATAATCTTTATCTTCAGTCATTGTAAAATGCTATAAAGGGTTATGAAAAATATTCTGGTTGTACCTATTTAGTACAGGAAACTTAAATTTCTAGAAATCAATTGCTCTCAATGATCTCCTTTATACCAGCCATTAATAAACAACTATATGCAAAACACATTGAGCAGTTGTGATTATTATATACTAGAGCTATGCTTTCCAACCTGTCCTCATCATGATATAATGATACCTCTTTGACATGCCTTGTGGGGAGGTCACTGCTATAGAGAATGACTCATCTAGTCTTCTCAGACAATTCAGGATCTTTACTGAAAGAAATTTTAGAGTGTTCAAATATCATCTCAGCTTTGGTACAATTTTAATGGCAGTAAAACTCAATTTTAAGTTTTTATCACTTAAAAGTTTTTATAGCCATCAGCATCTTGTGGGACACCTGAACAATTGATGGCCCTCTAATTTGTCCCCCCATGCCAGTTGGGAAGCTCCATACTGTAGAAATAAGATGACCCATAGAGATGGGCTTCTCTCTACTGTTCTCAGTGGGAAGAATCCAAATCAGAAGAAATGTTCCATGTTGTATGGCTTTCATAAATTCTCTTCTTGAAAGTCACTTTCCTTCTCAGCATTAAGTTTTAAAGAGTGCTTTTACCTCTGTCATCAGAAATTGCTTTCTTAGTATCTTCTCTGAGCTATTCATGAAAATCCTTGCTCCTGTTACCCCTGTCCCTGTGTTTTTGGACTTTCTCTGCTTAAGTGTGAGTTTGTAATTTTCAAAAGCTGATTAAAAAACAAATATTATTTTTTGAAGTTTATTTTGAGAGAGAGAGTGAGAGCATGTGCATGAGCATGGGGAGGGGCAGAGAGAGAGGGAGAGAGAGAATCCCAAGCAGTTCCATCTCTGGCAGCACAGAGCCCAACACAGGGCTCCACATGGGGCTCGAACTCATGAACCCTGAGATCATAATCTCAGCTGAACCAAATCAGTTGTTTGAGCCACCCAGGGGCCCCAAAATAAATAGTTCTAAGGCGGGGGAAAAAAGACCAATGTGATCAGAGAGTAACAATAACTGGATAAAATACCTGCTGGTCCAGGTATTGCTGGTGTCCGTCTAGTCCACAGTTTTGCTATTTCTCTTAATTGCAAAGGCAGTTGCTAAAACAGCGAGCAGATAGAGATGGCTAAATCTTTAGTTTTGAAAGATGAATAACACCATTTTTCCCCTTTCTTATAGTGATAAGGTGATCAGACTTATTCCCAGTACAGAAGAAGAAGCAAATGCACTGAAGAAAATGTACCACCAACTTAAGGTAAAAAAGCGTCCACTCACTTATAATGCTTATAATGTGTTTACAGGGCTTTGCTACAGGAATTGAGTAAGTGGAGTTTATTAGCCAAGGGAAGAAAATGCTAAGGGACAACTTGAAAGAGCTTTTAAAGAATAAGTTAAGGTTACTCAAAATATGATCTATCTGACCCATTATCTAGTTATGGGTTCATTTATTTTCCATCTCCCTTAGTAGAATGTAAGCTTTGTGAGAGAGCTTTTATCTATTTTTTCATTGTTGTATTGTCAGTGTCAGGAATATCCTACAAGTTCAGTAAATGTTTTTTGTTGTTTTTAATGAATAGGTAAATTTAGTTTATAATTTTCTAGAGCTTCACTTTTACTTTTCCTTCTTAAAATTTTCCTGCTGATCATCTACACTTCATTTTAATTAAAACTTCAAGCAGAAGTGAGGAAATTTTTTTAAAAATTCAAGTTAATTAATTTTGGTATGTTTCAGTGGGTCTGATTAGAAAATTCTGTTGGCAAAGGTTGAAGGGCTCTGATTCAATCTTTGATGAATTTTGTGGATTTTAGAGTTAGAGAATTTCTCATCTCCATATTATTGCATATAATTGAGTGTTAGCTTTAGCTAAAAAGTTATAATGAGAAGTGCGGTGATGGGCTTTTTTTCTATGCCTATGAAGAACAAAGGCAAGACCACAAAATATGTAGTGGTTTAACTTCATTTTAATGGATAGCAAATCAGGTTACCAAGAAGGCCTCATTAATCTTCAATATGGGATAGAAAAGCACATGTCCTGGATGACTGCAGGACAATCCTACCTGGAGAAGATGTTAGGGAGATGAGAGAGGAGGGATAGACTCCGTGACTTCATGAGATGCAGTTATGGAACTTTCAGTCTTTTCTTTTTGACTTGATTTTTCCCTTTGACATCTTTCCTTCAAATATTGAATGCACTTGCAAATGAAGTTTGGAACTTTGAGTTTATCCCCTTCTATCCTTCCTCCTCACTCTCAGCTTTTACATATGCACTGTCCAACTTAATATTGGGTCTCATGACAAGGGCTCAGAGTGAAAATGCAGGAGCTCACCCCAAATTGTTGTGATTGTATCCAATACCAGAGACTGCTCTCCAGGCATGTCCTAAACTTCATCTTCTCAAAGGATTTTCTGCTTCAGGATATTGACACAAACTTCCCTTTGGTCATGTATGATCATCAACCCCAGCAGCAATATCTCAACACTACCTGAACAGCCCACCAGGGACTTAACATTTGCAAAGAAGCAGAGCAGCTTTCAAATAGAATTTTCTGTCTCCATTAAAATTGTGTTTTAGATACCCTATCGGGAAAATAGCCACTTTACATCATGGAGTCCAGTATTTCATGGAACAAATATGCTTAACCAAACTTTGGGAGAAAACATCTGTGAAACGATTCCTCCCCCCATTTGTAAATATATTTACATGGGAGGCCTTACAAAGTTATAAAAATGAAATTGCATAGTTACATATGTGATGATCCCATGTCATTATCAAAAGCAATAAAATTACATCAGTGAGGGCTGGGAGGGTTACTTAAAATCTCTTGTAAATCGTAGTAGATGGAACAAAAAGATGTTGAGCATAGGTCAGACTGAACACTGAGAATACATGATATTGTGCCCTTTTCTGGGCACACTTCTGTACTTAAAAAAATTGCCGTATATGTTGAGTCCTTGAGGAAAGGAATTAGGGAGTAGGAGACATGGTTTGGACGCAAAGGAGCTTTAGAGGACAACTAAAGGGAGAGAAGGAGAGGGGGCTGGTGAGGAAGAGGGGAGCAGAGTTGAAGGGAAGAACAGGGGTTAATACCAGAATGTTGATGTTCTAGTGGCTCCACACCACAGAGAATCCAGCCCCTCTTAGGCACTATGTGCCAGTCCCAAGGCCACATGCTTCATATAAATTGTCCCCTTCGAACAACTCTGTGAGGTGGATACTATTATTGCTGTTTTACAGCTAAAGAAATTGGGCAAGACAGAGGTTAAGTAACTTGCCCTGGGTCACAGTGTGGAGTTGGAGCACACATCTAGACAGTGCCCAACGCTGTAGAACCCATGTGAAGCCTTCCTGCCTCCTGCCTCTGTTTACTCTGATCATTTTCTCAATGGAGAGGAATAGGCCAACTTTGCTGGGATACGGAGCCTAGACTCAATGTGCACACAATCATGTTCTCATTTACTTTATTCCTTGAGTCACAAATACAACCCCCAGGTTCAGAAATTTGCAAGACTTAAATTCAGCTGATAATCCTACTCATGGCTATGATTTATTATAGCAGATACAAAGCAAAACCTACAAAGAGAAAAAGCATGTGACATGAAATGCAGGCGAAACCAGGCACAGGCTTCCAAGAAGCTTCTCCTTGTGGAGTTACACAGGGTGTTCTTAATTCCCCCATCAAGGAGTTGTGAGAACATATGTGAAATATTGTCCACCAAGGAAGTTCATTATAGACTTAGTGTCCAGGGTTTTTATTGGGCCTAGTCATGTAGGCCCCTCTGCCAAGCACATACCAAAATTCCGGATTCTCCAAAGCAGGTGTTCAGCATGAACTGTATAGTTTGTGCAGTCTGGGTGTGCATGAGCCACTCCTTAGATTTCAGGAGGTATCCTACCACCCTAAATTTCCAGATGGCAGCTAATGGCCAAACTTGCAAGCAGACCTAACAACAGCAGATTCAGGCCTGCTGTGTTAATTTTTTCTGCACATTTCTTCATTTCTTTTTGTTAAAGACATAGTTTTATGGGGCTGAGATTTGAGCACTGAGCTTAAATAAATTTGCTTTCTAAAAGCATCATGCTAACTGGATGTCATTTTAAATTCAAATGATACCATCGAGTGATCCACTTGCACCACTGAAAACAGCAATTCTGGCCAGGCAAAGAAAGCAGCTGGCAGACAACAAAGAATATGGCCGTCTGTCATCTTGTGCCCTGTGGAGCTGATGGGATGGAATTGGTACTGTTGTTAACAGCTCCTTTGCTCACACCCCCACTCCATGCACCTCCTCCAAGGGGAGGGGAGCTTTTAGTTGCCTCCTTTCCCTAAAACACAGTGCGGTAGTCAGAATTCCAAGATGGTGCCAAGATTTCTACCCACTGGTGTATCCACCTTGCATAATCTCTCCTCTGAGTGTGGCCAGAGCCTGTGAATGTGATGGGATAGTCATCTCCCTGAGAGACAGAAGGGAGATAACCTGAGATGGGCCTCACCTAATCAGATGAGCTATTTAAAAGCAGAGTGTTTCCTCCAGCTGTTCATGGAGGAAGAAGTCAAAGAAGTGCTCCTGCTGTCTCAAAAAAGAATCAAACTTCCAAGCTGTGAACCATCCATGGGAGCCACGTGATAAGAAATGCTACTGACCCTACCTGATGAAAGCCACCCCCAGCTGATAAGCAGCAAGGATATGGGAATGTCAGTCCTACAACTCTAAGGAACTGAATTCTGCCTCAACCATCTGAGCTTGGAAAATGACCCTGAGGTCCAAATGAAGCTACATCCCAGCTGGTACTTTGCTTTTAGCCCAGTGAGACATTGAAAAGAAAATCCAGTTAACTGTGTCTGGAATTACGACCTACAGAACTATGAAATGGTAAATGGCTGGTGAGTTTGTGGTAATTTTCTCTACAGCAATAGAACAGCAACATAAAAGTAACACATGGTAAGGTAACCACCCTACATCCTGGCTTTTCAGTGGCCCTTAGTTTAATAGCATATATCGATGCTTTAAGTTAATTTTTCTGACTTCACCGGCTACAACCAATCATCTTTGGAAAAGTGATTGGGGTTACATGCTTAAGCTATAAATTCACAGCATCTTATCTGAAACATGAACAAATGCAAAATGTATATGCCATGTTGAGTGAAATCTGAGAAGATACAGTTACAGAATAGCTAATTAGACCTAGAACTGCTGTTACAAAGCTGGTTACTTTCCTAATTAAATTTTATGGTTTGGCTGAAGAATTAAAACAAAGTTAAACAGAAAACCATGCCTCCAGAGAAATGGAATGAGAAAGCACCAACCAATTAAATTGTTAATTAAGAGCATATCCATGATTTAAATAAAGTTATGATGGAAGGGAGACAGTTTGCAGGTGAGCAAAATTAGAGTCTGAACACTATGTTCTACCTACATTTCTTCACAAATTCTTTGTGCTTGGAAAGAACAGAGTTGGCCTTATATAAGACCACAAAGTTTCTATATAGAATTGACAGATCCTGTTAAAAGAAAAACTAATGATGCTTGTTTCCAGCTCTAACATCAGAGTACTGGATAAAAAAAAATTTCTGTACCTAAAAGTTTGACATTTTTTCAAACTAAAACGTAGCCTCAAAAATATTCATTGGTTTGACAGGTGCCAGTGAGTGCCATGTCAAAAATTGCAAAATTCTTTGGGGAAAAACTGCATTGTCCCTTCTCCTTTGCTTATATGTGAAATTCACAGCTGCCTTTCCCAGGTGTGACTCCCCCTCCTCAGCCTTGTGCTGAAGTTGACTGTTGTGTAATCCTCCTTGGTGGTCTTTCAAGTCAGACACCCGGATCTACAGGAGCTTTGGAATACTTGTGGTCTCTACACCTTGAAGAGCTCCAACATGCAACTGGGCAGTTTATTGATTGGGAAACTTGTGAAGAAGAGGATGGGTGATAGGATTCATTCTACTGGAGTCATTTGTTTCCGTTTTCAGTAGTAACCGATGGTGCCATTATAGGATCTCTTAATCATGGGTGTGGTAGGCAGAATTCTAAGATGGCCCTCAAGATTCTTGGCCCTGGTATATACACTTTCCCCCCAGGTATCCCATCAAACACTAATCTAGGTACTGCTATAAAAGGATTTTGGAGCTTTAACTAGAGTTCCAAATCATTTCACTTTTTAACAGGGAGGTTGTCCAGGTGGGTCTAACCTAATCATGGAGAAATAATGTTCCCTCTAGCTGGTTGCAAAAGAGGAAATCAGAGAAATGCACTCC